TTAGCTTATGCGGCAGTTGCTCTGGGCTATCCAGAGGGGTGTAATTAAGCAGTATAGTGTCCAGTTTCGATCATCAACAGTGTAATTCAATTATGGTGTTATTTGTAGGCTGAATCACAGGGACTAATCAGGAGGAAGACCAGATCAAAGGTTAACATCATACTGGAACTTACAACAATGGTCTTTTGTATTAGAAATAAATCATTTTGACAAGAGTCCTGGGTTTTTTAACAGTCACCTCTTCTCAACTTTCTGCTATAAAATTCTTGGGTTCTAATTAAGTACAGTTACACCTGGGATACACTTATTCAGGTTTCAAGAATCCATCTTTAGCAAGGAGTTTCACTTCACATTTCTGCTTCATTTCCTACTTCTGCTTAGAAGGCATTTCCTTCTCTCATACCTCCAGAGCAGATGAATGCCTTGAGAAGATGTGTTAGCAATCAATTTTAGCAATCAACACTCACCATGTGTGGCCCTGCAGGGGTGTACTTGGCACTTGTGTATCAGGATGTCCTCCAAGTGTTCCCAGCCTGGTTGCTTCTACGAGCGATAATCTCTTGCACTATTTACACTGTTTACATTCACTGGAGGACGGGGGCACCTTTTTTGCATTAAAGGCTTAATTACATCAACAGCGGTATCACATGCCCTAAGGAAAGAGTTTTGGAAAGTGAAGAGTAGCCTATCATACTATAGAGTAATTAATAAAGGGAAAGTCCTTGTTATATAGTGTTATGATTATTAATAATCATTATTCAAGGAATTGTGTCTATTTTAGTAGGAATCCCTCTTGTTTCTGCATAAGTGCTTGCTATTTCGTGCATGCAGGAAGCCCATAAAAATTTCTTCCACTGAAATAAGTGTAATTGTGTTTTCATAAAGTGAGAGAATACAGTCCTCGCGCACTTGCTTGAGTACTTTAACAGATGCAAAAGCAACTGAGTGTTGAAAGTGTTGGTGGTGCTACTTGACATCCTTCCACTTCAAATGAACGAGAGAATAGAAATTTAAAAAGGACGATTTTAATGTTAACACAAAAACGTCACTTCTGCAGGATTTGTGTATCATGATTTGCTGCCACAATCTTCAAACTTTCTTTCAGCTGCTCCACCCTTAAGCAAAGGAGCCCTCACTTGGCAGTCGAATGTGTAAGAGAAGAGAGCAAAGCCACTGTGGCCAAGAGAAGGGGAGGGGGCGGGGGTGGGTGTGGGGATGGGCAAGAACAGGACTGGACCCTCCACCCAGTTAACTCTCTTCTCCTGTAGATGGCCCCACAGAACCCCAGGGCTTGGCTACACTTCGCCATAAAACCAACCCGGGAATGAATGGAGCCCAGAAGAGGCTCAGATGGCCCTGGACTCAAATTTTAGTTCTGTCATTTACCAGCACTATAGCTTGGGCAGCAAAACTAATGTCAGTACTAATATCAACAAAACCAAGAGTAACCTAGACCAGTTGAGCACTTGCTAAGTGCCAGGCATTGTGCTAAGTGCCTTCTTTGCCTTAATTTAATCCTCCCAATAATAGGAGATGGGTGCTGTTATTGCCACGGTTTTATATATGAGGAAACTGAGGCTCAGAGAGGGATTAAGCGATTCGCGCAAAGATTCCACAGCTAGTAGTGAGTGGCTGAGCTGGGATTCAAATCCCCACAGCCCATCTAACTCTGCAGTCTACATTAATTAATTACAAATATCCCTAAGCTCTGTGGCCCAATTTGGCCCAGCCAACTTGAAAATGAGGATGGTTTTAATAATCTTGAGGAAAAGTATCCCACACAAAAGCATTCAGTAATTATCATTCTTTTTATTGCAAATGGCACAGAACATACGCCCTCCAGACACTCGCTAATAACCTCAGTGTTGCATTCTCTGTCATATAGCTCCCGTCAAACGTCTGTGTGAGCCAATTACTACGTAAGAGATGGCTCACGGGAGGTGCCAACCACCGACTCTTTGAGAAAATTAGTGATTATTCCAAAAGAATCAGCCAAACAAAGGTACAAGTAGAGAAAATAATCAGCGAAGTTCAGCATGCAGCCAGATAAAACATAGGCACGGAAACCAGTAACTGCCTCCTAATCAATGAACAGGGGAGCTGATTCACAAAAGTAAATAAAATACACGTGACAAATATCTCTTAAACCCCTGTTCTGCGTTGCACTGGAGATGCAGCAACACAGCCCCTGTCATCATAGAGCTTACATTCTGATGCATGAGGCACATGATAAAAAAAGAGACAAATATGAACGTAATGGGTCAGATGGTGATATGTGCTATAAAGAAATAAAAAAAGGATAAAAGGACGGGGCTGATGTGGGGATGCTATATTAGAGAGTGTCAGGGAAGGCCTCGGACACGGTGATATTTCAGTACAGATCTGACCTGAGTGTACTTGGAGGAGAACATTCCAGCAGAGGGGACAGCAAGCACAAAGGCCCTGAGACAGCCAGTGCTAAAGTGAGACGAGCCAGATGGAAAGTGTAGGGGGTGCAGCCACAAAGGCAGCCAAAGGCCAAATCGTATAGAGTGTTGACTTCAGATTTTTTTTTTCCAGATGTTGGGGATAGGAGTTTATTAATTAATTAATTTATTTTTGCTGTGTTGGGTCTTCGTTTCTGTACAAGGGCTTTCTCTAGTTGCGGCGAGCGGGAGCCACTCTTCATCGCGGTGCGCGGGCCTCTCACTATCATGGCCTCTCTTGTTGCGGAGCACAGGCTCAGTAGTTGTGGCTCACGGGCCTAGTTGCTCCGTGGCATGTGGGATCCTCCCAGACCAGGGCTCGAACCCTTGTCCCCTGCATTAGCAGGCAGATTCTCAACCACTGCGCCACCAGGGAAGCCCGGGACTTCAGATTTTTATCCTGAGATGGGAAGCCACTGAAGAGCTGTGGGGAGAGTGATGTGATTTGACTATTCTGCTGCTCTGTGGAAGACAGGCTACAAGGGGGCAAGAGCAGAGCAGAGACTGCTCAGAGGCCATGCATTAATCTTGAAGACCCCAGGCAAGTCTAGGAGGCATGCACAAGCCTTAGCTAGACAATGAAAACTACAAAACACAGACGGGTGAAATAAGGACCTGAATAAATGAGAACTCCACTGTGTCCCTAGAAAAGACTTAGCATGGTAAAGACTTTTTGTCCCTCATTAATTTATCAAGAGCTAATATTTTATAGTCTTACTATATGCCAAGCTTTGTTTTAAGCACCTTACATGTATAAGCACAGCAACCTTCTTAGGTGGGTTCTATTATTATTCCCATTTTAATATGAGGAAACGGAGGCATGGTTCATGCAGGTAACTTGATGCAGAGCTAGGATCTGAACCAAGCAGTCTGGCTACAGATGCTCCCCCGACTAACCCACGAAGAATGCCTTGGAACATCTTAGACCACCTCTCTGCAAAACTCTCATGTCTGTTCCAGAGAAGTCTGGGGAACCCTTCCAGAAGAAGCCTGCCAGGGTGGAGGCCTAAGGAAATGGGAGAAGGAGGGAGCATGTAGTACTGGAAGGGAAGAAGGATGGGTGCTCCGGGTTCCACACGACCCACACCAGGGCCCGCCCTCCACACCCACTGCAGAGCCCCAACCAAGGCAAGGCCCCGAGGTTCCAGACATGTAGTCCTCTCCCACAGACAGAGGGGATTTTGCCAGAGACTTTGTCATTTCAGGAATGCCTGTGTGGGGAAATTAGGAGGCAGGAGGAGGAACTGACCTCACACAAGGCTACCTTCTTTAGGCGGTGTCCCATTTATCCGTCCTAGCCATCCAAGAGCTCTGCTCATTCCAGGGGCTCTCAGAGTCTCTTCCTTGCCCCTTGGCTGGGGGCTCAGCAGTGCTGACAGCCTGAGATGGTCTGAGAGTCTGACCCTGTGGCTCTGATCTCAATGCACAGGGGGCCCCGGAAGCTTCCAGATGCGACTCTCTGAAAGGACTGCTAGGAAACCCATGCTCCTGGCCATTTCCTCTCAGTAGGGCTTCAGGAACCCTGATCTAGAGCAGGACATCCCAACCTCTGGAGCCTCTGAAAAGTGGGATGTTAGTCACGGCCTCCCAAGGACCCTTCTGTCCACTGAGAAATTAAGAGCCTGACAGATGACAGCTAGAACACGTCCTCTATCCCAGGTGCAAACACCCAGAGCCCTCAGTGTGTCAGGTGTATCTGCAGACGGAAGGAAAGGCAAGGGGGCAATGCCCAGTGCTCTGTGCATGCCCTGGGCTCTAGCCACCCTCAGCCCAAACCTTCTTCCTGCAGCCCTAGCTCCATACAATGAGGAGCAAAGTCCCAAAGAAACACACCCAGTCAACAAATAAGGCCACTGACCTGTATCAGGTAAGGATAGAAAGAAGGCCTGGGGCCTGCAGGGAAATATTTCCAACAATGACAGGCTTATTCTAACCAGTATGGGCTTCAGTTGCCCCCATCAAGGAGTTAATCAGCCCAAACAGCCCACTGGCAGTCCTTTCCAATTAACCAGTTTTGCTGGATCTCTTCTAGACAATAATCCTAACTGGCTAAGGCAAACATGAAGGCAAACAGTTACGATGGATAAAAAACATATAGAACATTCTTCAGGTGATTAGGTGAATCAATACAAAACTGCTTCCTGACTCTCAAACAAACTGGAGACCAGCCGGGAAAGGGAGCTGACACCAGTGTTCGGGGCAAAGTCTGCGAGATTGCACTGCGAGCCGTGATGTGCTCTGAAAACTTGACAATAAAATCAATCTCACGGCACCTGTTGCAGCCAGGATCCAAACTGCGATACAGTTATACAGATGCTAAAAGATGGTGCATCTGTACTCTCCACAGAGCCCTAGACTCACACCAGATATCAAAGAGTCCAAGTCTGCACTGTTGAAAAAGAGATGGCACACACAGTAAAATAAAAGAAATCCAACAGGGGCCTTCTCTCTGCACCCAAAAGAAAAGTCCAATGAGAGGAAACGGTTTCTCAGTGCGGAGGATGAGCTGTGGGTTGCCAGGACCCCTGACCATACCTGCAATGATCCCGTCCATCTGCTCCAGGGCAGCTTCCAGCACGTGACTTGCATCAGAAGCCATGAGTCCTTTTCCCTGCTTAGTCTCCTCCTTCTCACTGAAAATTCAAATACAGAACAAAGGAAAAATTACAGGGTTCCACATTACGTACCCAAGGCCGCCAAGCCCTCTCAATTCCACCATCACAACCGCTCTCTCATAGGAATCTCGGTAGCCCACGTGTGGTTTCTGCCATCTCCATGGCTTCGCCCTCCAGGCACAAGTGTTCTTAATCCATGAATCTTCAGCATGTGTTTGTGTCATGAAAAGCCACTAGGGCTCTCCGGAGTGACCTGCAGCAGCGAGACAGCGATTGCCACTCCTACCATCATTACAGTCACGGCTCCAGAAGCTCCAGCCACCCCTGGGGGAGGCTCAAGGCTCCCCTAAGGTTGGGGAAAAGAAAGCCGGGATGTGCCCTGCAGCCGTGGGTCGCAGCAGGCATTGGCGGTCTTCTGTCTGCATTTGGGCACACCTTGGGCAGGTGTGACCCAGGCTGAGAGGCCTCAACTGCAGCTTTCACTTCTCAAGTGGGCCAATGGGCCCCATCTAGGAAGGCTGCAGGCGCGCTGCTGTGGGGAGAGTACCGTCCCTGGACCCAGGAGCACTGTCTCTTACCATTCTAGTTCTACTCCACCCAGCACCATTCAAGGTACATAATCCCATCTTCCCAGGGCTGGAGAATTTCTCCAAAAATACAGTGTAGCCACTCCCCTAACGCTGAGTCTCCCTTCTAATGGCAGAGGTGGTAATTGGTTCCATCTCCAGACAGCTCTGCCTCTTAGAAAGGTCTTTCAGCTCAACTGTCTTCTTACAGCCTCTTCTCACTTTTCTTGCTTCCCGCTCCCTTCCTGGGTGGCAGGGAGAGACTGACACGACAGCATTTGTAATCCTAAGAAGAGGCTTAGCTCACGTCTGTGAACTGGAGGCAGGTGTGCCCAACGGGCCTAAGTGCGACGGAGGAAAGAGGCAGAGCTCCTGGACCCAAGGGTGGCACAGGTCAGGGAACAAGGGGTTCTGCTGCTCATCTTACCCATGAAGTTAGACCTTTGGAGTGAAGAGAGGAAAGTGAGCAACCACCGGAAAGTGGCTTTGGAGATGCTGTGGATAAGAATGTCAGGACCACAAAGAACCACACTGGACGGCACCGGGTAGGAACAGTTAAATACCCTGGGTTCCAAGCCAGCTCTGCCATCTACTGTGTGATCTCCAAACCTCAGTATCCTCATCTGTAAAATAGGGATGATAACAGCACCTAACTCACAGGGCTGATGTCATGGTTAAATGAGTAATTAATATTTCATTGAAAATGCATGTCTTGCATGTAGTAAGGGCTCAATAAACTTCAGCCTTTTCTTTTTTTTGCTTTTTAAAGTGAGGAGATAATCTCAGGATGTATTTGTGCCAGGATAGCTCACCGGATGAGGGACTTTAAACTAAAATGGGGTAGGTTCAGGGAGGGAGAACCCAAAGAGGCCCAAGAGGCTGGTCCTTTGGAGGAGATAAGCACGCAAAGAAAGATAAGCTATGCGTGTGGAAGTGGAAGGGGAGGGCGTGACTCACAGGTGCAAAGGCCCAGAAATGGTCAGAAATGGGCGCTGAGCCGCAGCAGTGCAAGAACCGTCACGCTATCAGCTCAGGGGAGTGAGAAAAGGAGCTTCGGGGGGGTGGAACCTCACTGGCACCTCAGAGCTGTGGCAGGAACCAGGCAGGGCTGCAAAAAGGAGCAGCCCAGACCGCTACAGAGCAAGTGTGGGCACAGATCTCAGGGTCTGAATAGAAGCAAGCCGGGGAGGGGAGTGTGGGTGGAGAAGAGGCAGCAGGACAAGGGGAGGTAGCAGAAGTGGGGCAACATTCAGCACATGCACATCTGCTTGGCCATATGGGGTATTAAAAGTCTGAAACATGTCCTACCCTCTGAGGACTTCCCAACCGCTCCCAGCAAAAAAAAATCCAAAGTCCATACTGTGACCTAACGGAAGCAGCTCGGCGGGATCCGGCCAGGTCAACCCCACACGGCCCTCCCCCTCGATCCCCATGCTTCGGCAGCCTCCGTCCCTGTCCGCTCCCCCAGGACTCCAAGCCCCCTTTCCTCCTCTGCAAGTGTGCACCTGCCATCCCTCTGTCCTGAGCTCACGTCCCCAGCTCTCTGGACGGCTCATCAGGCCTCAGCCTTCGGGCCTCAGCTCTGAAGTCTCTTCTCAGAGACGCCTTCCTTGCATGCCTGCATCTAAAGCAGCCCCTTGACAGCACAGCGGTTCCAAAGAATCTCATCCATCTACATTTCCTTGCTAACTGGCCTTGCTCACCCCAACGTGCCTGGTGCGTAGCAGAGTGACCGGCACAAGGGAGTTTATGAGTAAATACTTGTGAATAAAAGATGGATCCATGTGGCCAACACAGCCTGAACCCTGTTGTGCTGGACACTGGAGGGAATATTGATAAATCAGGCCTAATCCCTGCTCCCATGGACCATGCAGTCTAGTGGAGACTACAGAAGTATGAACAAATAATTATGACACAGCGTGAGGTACGCTGATAGAGGCGGGTACGCAATTTCCCTGGGCCTTAAAGGATGGGTAGGAACTTTCTCAGTAGACAAGGGCGATTCCAGGCAGAGGGGGCAGTGCATGAAAGGCAGGAAAACATGTAAAGACAGGATGTAGTTGGCAAATGTCAGAATGGTTGACGAAATTATACAGGAACATCCGGCTGCTTACCATGAGTCAAAACCCTCCACGGAATTCACTTCAGCGTGATAAGGGCGATTAATGAGAGGAGCTTGGGAATTACACCCACGGCTTCAGGGATCTGGACGCCCGTGCTTGGCAACTCAAGTGGCCTCAGATGTAAACTTGATAGAGATTTTTAAAAAGAAAGATCTCATATTTCAGCAGACTGGCTCCATTGGGGGCCTTAGTACCTGGGTGAAAGGTAAGAGGGCAGTCAGAAGGTGCTGAGCCCAGAGGGCCCAGCTAGGCCCCCTGCAACAGAAGGGCCATAAAAGATGACCCCTGGGCCCTCTGCCCGAGGATGAGTTTGTACTTGGCAGATGGCAAGTTGGGTGGATCCGTAGGAGCTGGTGAGAAGTGAAATATGAGTCAAAGGTGTATCATCCTTATGGCCCAGGACCTGGGCCAGTAAGATTGCGAGCGCTCGGGAGGCAGAACCTGCTTTGGGTGGCTGATGAACTCAGCGCTGGGTCTGAGATGATGGCAGGATGCAGGGAGAACGGGCTCTGCCAGCCTCTGATGCAGAGCGGCTATGAGGGGTCAGTGGTGTGGGGTACAAGGGGGACCGCTGAAAGGCCAAATATGCCATAGGAGCTAGGCCTCCAGGCCCATCTGTGAACACGGACACTCTGGAATAGGGAAGCCATGATTCCATTCACCAACCATTCCCATTCTGGCAGCTACAGCCATTTCCTTCCCTCACAAGGTTAGAGCTCCCCATCAGTAACGCACCCCGGGACAATCAATCCCTGCTTTCAAGGAACTGGGGGTCCCAGAGGCAAACGTGTGATCCGGCTGCACTCAGTGTATCTGTTCATCCCCACAGAGACACAGCACCTCCCTTGGGAGCCTAGGTTCATCGGGGATGTGAGGTTTAAGTGCACAAAGCACCAGAAGCTGCGTGCGAGGAGGCCCCCCGCAGAGGAGTAAGGTGACGAGGCTGGGGGGGGGGGGCACATCTGGAAGAGGCAGTAACCCAAGTGCTGGGAAAGAGAGCAGGATCCAGTGCAAACTCCAAAGGGGCGCGTGAAAGGCAGGGCAGCCTCTAAGCAGGTGGTGGGGAATGGAGGTGAAACCAAGTTCTTCACCCATGAGAGGGGAGCTGCGGCAGCCACCCAGGCTGGACAGCAGAGGAGCTGAGAGTGTGCCCTGGGGACTTGAAGGGGGGGCGCCCCACCAGCACAGGAAGGAGAGGAGCAGGTAGAGGAGGACGCGGCGCTCTTAACACGCTCAGTCCAGTGACAGTTGTTGTATTGGCCGAAAGCGGTTTTCATTCTCTGTGGACACTTGGACTATTAACACAGCCCTGCATTTGACCCTGACGAGCAGGTAGCCTTCTCAAACCAAGAAACTGGCTCACCCCGAGCTGCAAAGATTAAGGTAGGGAATGTTGTTTAAGGAAAGAAAAGGTGTGGTCCATTCCTCATGCATCCTTCCCCTCCCCCACAGGCCTCTCTAGAGGCTGTCATCTGCCCACCTGTGAAGGTACCTGATGCTGGGCCCCCCTAATACAGGGCTTGACCCTCCTCTTTGCTACCAGCCAGGGAGGAAACAACCCTGCAGCTGTGAGACCAGCCAGCGAGGAAGGAACAGCCAAGCTTTAGAAGGACAGTGTCTGTGAGAGGTGTCAGAGTCACATGATCTGCGTCATACAGAGGCTGGTTTGGCACTTTGAATCTGAATAGGAGGCACGGTTAGGTGAAGTTTAGAAAGTGAGCCACAGTTAGTCACCCATCACCTGGTGGACTCTAAGGCAGTAACTTAGATACGGTATTAACTACCCCGATGCTCAGCAACAGAGAATCAGAAGGAGGCAGGAATGGCTGACAAGTAAGTCTCGGGCAACTAAATCTTAACTTGAAATGCAAGCTTCCATTCCATTCTATAAACCACTTTTCTCTCACTAAAAGTGGTTAGGGATGCAAGTGTTTTGGGCAGGCTCGGACTGTCCTGGATGGAGGAAGGAATCAGGAACAGATCTAGAGTCCCTGGTACCCTCCAGGGTCTCCTGCCGGGGCTGCACCTCAACTCCTCACAGCTGCAGCCAGATGGGCGCCCGCATTCCTGCGTAGAAAGCAAGACCTGGGGAAGGAGCCCTCAGCCAAGAACCCACCACCACCAAACTCAGACTCATCTTAGACCTCTCCTGGCCCCAAATGGTCAACAGGTGGTAAAGAAGTATCACCACATCACAACAAACCGAAGACTCCTCCCCACAATTTACTGGTCACCCATAAACCACAGGGGCTCGTTCTTCCAATGGTTATTTAAAGGAATACCTGTTTTTATCCCTAAGCTGAGGAGATGGCCTCTTAAAAGGATATAG